GGGGGGGGGGGGGGGGGGGGGGGGGGGGGGGGGGGTTGCTGCCCCCCAACCAACATAATCAATCGCTATCGCTGAATAACATCGTACGCATGACACACGCGCTACTACATACCCGGCGGCATCACATCACACGCACGGTCAATGGTGCCCAGCGTATTGAACAAGGGTTCCCTGCCATCGTATCCTGGCTGTTTGTGCGCGGATGGCCGTCGTTGGTGCTGCTACTGTATGGGACATGCACAAGGCGCACCGCCTCCCTATCTGGGCGTTGGACGAGTGACGACAACGTTCACCACCCGCCCTGTGAACTACTATTTATGTAGTCTGATCGAATTGAGCCGGCGCAACGGTGTAGAACTCACCTCCGGCCAATCAGATTCGTCTGACCAATCGATGTCCGAGTGTCGGAACGACGGGTGAGCTCTCTCGGTGATGATGCCCAGAGACGGACACGCACGGGGAGGGTTCAAGAGGTAACGCTTGCGGCCCCTGAGCAAAAAAAAACAGCAGCACGGGAAGGGAACAAAAAAATAATCCAACGTATACGTAGGCTAAAAAAGACTCAAAGGTAAGCCCATATCCAGCCGATTATCTTCCCATTCGCTGCGAAGACGTCTAGCAGGTCCCCTTCGGCTGTGACATTCTCTCAAAAGGGTACTCGCTCGTGTTGTACGAATATTTTGTTGAAGCACTTGTCAGAAACTTGTCAACTTTCCTTCCTTATGTTGTACGTATATTTTCTTGAAGCACTCGTCAGAAACTTGTTGACTTTCCTTCTTGATTGTTGTACGTGTATTTTCTTGAAGCACTCGTCAGAAACTTGTTAACTTTCCTTATTGATTGTTGTACGTGTGTTTTCTTGAAGCACTCGTCAGAAACTTGTTGATTTTTCTTCGTCGACATACAAAGAGTGAAGACGTCCCATCCTTGTCGCTAACAAAAAAAGAAATGCGGAAACCTACGAATATGCGTGTGCATACGTGGTGAAAACCACCGACTTGAATCACGTCCAAGGTACGTTGTGAGAGAAAATCCGGCCCGCCCGCGTGTGTATATTGCATTTTAGCGTTTCCCCCCGCTCTTTCGAGTGTTCACCTAAGCATAGCCACGAAGTTTTTTCCATGGTCGAAGTGGCTCTCGGCGATAATCCCCCTCGCCCCAAAGCGGCATTGGATACCCTTCTGGTGATTGACCTGCAATAGGCAGATCACATCGCGGCAGAGGGGGTGGGGGGGCATGGCTCTTGTGACTTACGAAAGATGAAGGCGGCTCTCCTTTGCGCGTCAAAATCTCTCTTCTTTGCGTGCAGAAGTGAACGAGCAGGCAAGCAACACCCCGATCTCCATGACCACCACCTTCACCACCATCCAACAACAATAACGACAGCAACAGCAGCAAGGCCCACGACTCGCATCAGGGATGAAGAAGTTGTTGGTTCTCGTGCTGAAGAAGGGTAAGTCGTCAGCCACGAAGTCCCCAGTGTCCGGCGGTGTCTTCGTGGACGGGCTTACGCCTGAGAAACAACAACATCGACAGCAACAACACAGCAGTTATACGAAACTACAAAAAGGGGCGGGGGACAAACACACGTGCAGTACGCCAAAAGACAAAACATTTGGTTCCTCGGCGTAGTAAGTAAAACAGAGACCCGCCTTCATATTTTCTCCCCTTTCATGTTGTCAAGGACATTCGGCCACTAGATGATGTGGAGAAAGCACCAAACGCCGATGATGCCACCGCAGTCAAACGCACTTCGCGGTACCATCGATTTGCCGTTCCAAGTTTCGGCGTGCCACCGAGCCGCGAGTCCCAAAGAGGTACAGCGTATGCACAAACGAAACGCGGCAAACGAGAAGGTACAATAGACCAAGCGACCGAAAGGACAGGCAGATGCCTTGACGGTTACACGCAAATGGACGACGAGACGGAAGTCTTTACCTACCCACGGTGAGATAGTAGTGCACATCCTCAGGGCCGATCCTGTTGGCCTCAGCCTCCTGCGTCCAATTGAGCCACTTTTCGAAGGGCATGTATTGCGGTTGGGTTGGCGGTTTCCACGACTCGTCGTGCTTTCCCCCCTTTTTGTGCCAGAACATGAAACGATTCGACACTGCGGGGTGGCGCAAAAAAAAAACATGGAGACAGAGAGACATACAGACAGGCATACAGAGACAGACAGACGTACAGACAGCAAGGTGGAGCTTATCTATAGAATTTGATGACAAGGAATTTTTGTTTACTCTTCTGGCATGCATCGGCTATTTTGTCCAGATTCTAGATGGAGTCGAGGGGGGGGAGATAGGATACGAGGAGCGGATGTGAGCTTGCCGCAGGTTGTTGAGCGGTGGTATGGGAGTTGGAGAGTTTGATGGAGGCGTTACTGTGCTGTGAGCAAGGCCGGCTTGAATTCTGCTATGCACATACTGCCGGAAAGGGCAGAGGGAGGGGGTGAGTTATCACCGAATAGACCGCAGCCGCGGCAACGCAAACGTATACACACAATGGTACAACAGCCTTCGCAGGGTTGTTATTAAGTAAACAGGTTGGATAAAGCATGAAATCGGGGATGTTGGGCTAAGGGTCAGGGTTAGGGAATACCGTCTGCGTATCCCCCTTCCTGTTCTTTTTCCTCATAAACCTAATTTCTCGCGAAGGCGATCCCAATGTGAGGCCGATTATCATGCTGGCAGAAGCGTAAACTGGAGAGCGCGATCTATCCAAGTGGCGTCGAGTAGTCAGCCCAGAGGGAGTCCGCTCCGCTACTCTCAAAACCCCAACCGTTTCTCCATGTTTCAAACACAGCCAGTGAGTGTGAGGGTGGCTCGCCATTCGACCCCTCGGGGCAAAGCAGCCCCCTCATAGTTAACCACGAACCTGATTTCATGACATTGCACCGCGGGCACCGTTGCATCCTGTCCAGGAGGTATTCGTCCGTCCATTTCTTGGACGCCGCCTCGGCTTCAGGATAACCTGTGGAACAAGAGCACAAGTAGGCGCTACGTTGCCTTGGAGGAGGAAAAGGTTGTGCTTGGCACAAAGAGGAAAGTAACGATGGCAACGGTTCAGCAACTGGCCTCTCGACTTGATGACCTCGTGCTTTGGACAAACAAGAGTCGAGAGGAGCACAAAAACGCAGCACCAACCCCAACCCTGACCCGAAAAAAACATGCCCCCTCTAACGCATCCCCCCTTCCCCCGGTGTTTGCCATCGGGGTTGGGTTTTCGTCGCTTGGCAACGACGTTGTAAAACAAGCCAATTCACTTCGTGAACTCGGCAACCAGGTTACCTTTTTTTTCTTTTTTACCTCCGTTTTGTTTTTGGCGGCAACCATTATGGTGGTCGAGTAGATCATGTTGTGCGGGGTGGAGA